TTTTCAAATATGTCTGGGGCAGTAACATGAAAGCACCTCAACTTTGACAGTTCAAAGAATTCTAGTAGGCCATTTTTAACGCTTTCTTCGAACCATCAGGGACAGGGACAGCCTATGAATTCTTGAATTTTTCAGCTTGACAGCCTGGAATAGACAAAAGTCTATACAAAATTAATAGTTTTCTTATTCCCGGCTCTTGAATTGAAAAACTAAAGAAAACAGGGAGGAAATCAAAAGCCTGGAATAGACAAATAATTGAAACAAAAATGATTGAGCTTCACATCGAAAAGAAAACATCTTAACTTTAACATTTTAAGTAGTCAGTCAATTATAGCGGTTTCGTTAGGATGCACCTTCCCTTATGGGGTGATTTCCAAGTCCAACAAAATAAGATCACCTCAACTTTGACAGTTTAAAAAAATCTAGTAGGCCATGGCCATTTGTAGCGCTTTCTTTGAACCATCAGGGTTAGAGCACAGCTTATGAATTCTTGAACTGTTCAGCTTGAGAGCCTGGAATAGACAAAATTCAATAATTTTCCCATTCGCGGTTCTTGAATTGAAAAACTAAAGAAAACAGGCAGGGGGCTCAAGAGCCTGGAATAGACAAATATTTGAGACAAAAATGATTAAAGTTCTTTACAGACGAATTCGAGATAATCGAATACAGAACTAAACTGATTCCTATCATTACGCCCCTTATAAGTTCGCTTTTATGTATTTTTATTATTTCTTTGCGTTGTTAGGGTTTTATATTTTGTAATCAGTTATTATTAACTTCTGAAAATAAAGTTTTTTCACCTTGTGATTTTTAATAATTCTGAAAATGAAAATAAGTCTGCCCCTTCTGAATGTTAAGTTGCCCCCTCTGTTATCAAAACCTGGCTACAGGCCTGTGTCAAGCACAACTTGAGTCGTAAAAATGCGACTTAAAAAAATTTCCCATAACAACAAAACCGGTAATTGCTAAATTATAGCACCTGGTGAACAGGAGCCGTCGCCACACCAACATTGAACCCATCAGATTAATGATAATAATCAGCGCGAAGGTACTTTCGAGTGGGTACTAAAGCCTGTCTGCTTTTGGTACTTGAGGAATTCGGAAAAAAACGTAATACCTACGTAATTATTTATTGTACTTTCACTGGCCGGACACGTCGTCCCATAACGATGGCGCTTGAAAACCATAAACACGGACCTTCCCAAAAAAATTTTTGTCTCATAAGAGCTCTTTGTCATTTTTTGGTTTATTTATAGACCTTGATTGACTTGAGTATAAATTTCGAAGACTTGCAGTGCATTTTTTCCTAGTTTGGGTTAGTGATGAACCATTCATCATGTCATTTTATTTCTCCTTCTAATGATCTGAACATTTATCCCAATTTGGTCAAGGTGAACTTTTTTTTATATTGGAATATGATATCTTTAACATATGATTTATTTATGTTATTATGGTAAGAGACAATTATTAACAAAATTGGGCGTGTTCACACTGCAAAAAAAAAAATCCTATAGATTGAGATGGTTGTTAAGACAGTAGTCAACTAGTCAATCAGAAATAAAAAAATAATATTTCCGCATTGATTCCAACACATAGGTACCTGAGCAAAAAAAGTAACTCAAAGCATGAACCTTGAAGTTTAAAAAGCAGGTACTTACTTAACATACTCAGTACACCTAAGTATTTGATATTTACCATTCAAAACTGAAACATCTGGGTGATAATTAAAATTTACATGAAAAGTTGTCCTTGTCATACAAATCCCAACCTGCAAAAGTATTAAATTTAGGGTAGGTCTAAAATCTAAATTGATTCCGAGCGAGCTTCTTTATCGAAACAATTCCTTCGAGTGATATTTCGATTTGTATACGTGGGTGCAGCAAAACAAGGGTAAATGTTAAAACAATGTTGCGCAACGAACAAATAATGAAAATGTCAACTCGGCACACGATTGTTTAAAATGATCTCGAGCAAAAAATATTGACAATATACAGAAAATCTTCCATTAGTTGACCTTAAGAACCGTTTAGGCTTTAATTACCTAATTTGGCTAAAATCTATAATTATTATTATCCCAGAAAGTTTTGCAGTAGCAGTGAGAACGGGATAAATAAGTGCAACCCGTCTAAAACCAAAAATTATATAGGTAATTGGTTAAAAAAATAGTGAAGTTTACGGTTGGGAAGCGCCCGAGAATGGTGATTGTGTTCGAAGTCTTAGTAGAATTGTAATAAACCAAGATCGAGTATTTGAATTATAAGCTAATTTGTTCTTAAATTCAAAGTTCGTAAGTCGTTAATCATTGTTTATTTTCCTTATTACTTTTAACAACATCTTATTAACTGAAAACAACATGGACACTTTTACCAATAATAGCCTGTAAATTTATGAGCGCCAGAAGCTCACAGCCATAACGAAAGCGCCTTTATTTATGCTTCCTATTTGTTCTGGTTAATATATTATAAGTAGATTTCAGTTTCAGTTTTTAGAATCTTTGAACTGGAACCTGGAATATTTATTTCGAGAATAATTAGGAAAATTTCCACAAACCATATCTACTAAAATATCATAGACAAATTCGTAAGATCCACACAAATTGTTTATTCATATAATGATGAAGACAATCCACGAAGTGGTTACGATTTTGAAAGAAGTAGGTAGGTACTACAGGAGAAGAAAACAAACCAGAAAATGAAACCTTGATTTACTTCCACGAAGAAATGCAGTGTAAGAGATCTTTCCAGAGATCCTACAAAGAGGAAAAATGTACTAGTCTTAACTTTTAACTGATTATCTTGTCCATGCCAGAGTAGTTGATTTGGTATATAAGGTTCTTCTGACGTTGTTTAGACATTTTAGAATAACTCTTCTAGTTTCTGAGGAAGTAGTTGGCTTTAGGAGTGATGTAGAGTCGCTTTGGATCAATCTTTCAATTATTACCGGCTCTTGATTCGCTACAACATTTTTCCAGAATCCAGGGACATAAACAGCTCGAAAAGTTCAAATTGTGATTATTACCGGCTCTTGATTCGTTTGCTGAGTCTTGATTTTTTTCCAGAGAAATTTTCTAATGATTCAAGAGCCAGTAATAATCAAAATTTCAACTATTCCTGGCTCTTGATTTCATCTGGACAAGTTTTTTGGGGATTCAAGCGCCGATAATAATCAAAATGTTTTCCAGAAGAATGTTCCAACAGGTTATAATTCAAATTTGAACCGTTACTGACTGGATCTTGATTTCCTTCAAAAAAATTTTCTTATGAATCAAGAGCCAGTAATTATCAAAATTTGAACTATTCCCGGCTCTTGGTTTCGTCTGGAAAAGTTTTCTGGGGATTCAAGCGCCGATAATAATCAAAATGTTGGCCAGAAGAATGTTCCAACAGGTTATGATTCAAATCTGAACCGTTATTAACTGGGTTTTGATTTCCTTTTGAAAAATTTTCTTATGAATCAAGAGCCATTGATTATCAAAATTTGAACTATTCCCGGCTCTTCATTTCATCTGGAAAATTTTTCTGGGGATTCAAGCGCCGATAATAATCAAAATGTTTTCCAGAAGAATGTTCCAACATGTTATAATTTAAATCTGAACCGATATTGGCTGGGTCTTGATTTCCTTCAGAAAAATTTTCTTATGAATCAAGAGCCAGTGATTATCAAAATTTGAACTATTCCCGGCTCTTGATTTCATCTGGAAAAGTTTTCTTGTGATTCGAGCGCCGCTAATAATCAAGCAGAATGTTTCAGTAGGTTATAATATTTCAAATCTGAACTGTTACTGACTGGATCTTGATTTCCTTCAGAAACATTTTTTTTTGAATCAAGAGCCAGTAATTATCAAAATTTGAATTATTCCCGGCTCTTGATTTTATCTGGAAAAGTTTTCTTGTGATTCAAGCGCCGCTATTAATCAAACAGTAGGTTATAATTCAAATCTGAATCGTTACTGACTGGGTCTTGATTTCCTTCAGAAAAATTTCCTTATGAATCAAGAGCCAGTAATTATCAAAATTTGAACTATTCCTAGCTTTTGATGGAAAAGTTTTCTGATAAGAAGCAGAGAAGAATGGAAAGGTAACACCACAGCCATTCTAACAATGCATCAGAACGCCATTAAATGGTATACTGATGAGTCAAAAACTGAATTGGAATACTTGGGCCTGGAAAAAAGAAACTGAAGGTGAAGAAGAACTATCACCAAAAGATGATAATGAGAAATAAGAGAAAAATAATAAGTTTGAGACTTTCAGAGCCGAATTCAACTAATGAAGATTCGGTTGTGTTTTCACTGAGTTTTCTTGGGAAACCTGTAAAACATTGGCATGGTAAATTCTTCAAAATAACTAGATTTCTGTGAGATGCTTCAAAAAGATTCACAAGTTCAGAGAGAATCGATTTTCTGCTCAAAGAACTGAGAAATGCTTCACCATGATGATTAGTTCTTGGTATTGGGAATAATAATTGATTCATTTTCATAACTTCTGAACTTTTAGATGGTTATCGAAAAACATCATCATTTGAAACTAATGAAAAGGAATTAACTAATATTTGAGAAATGATTGTAGAAGACATTTTAGGCCTACTGAATATTAAAAATGGTTGGAAAAAATAAACAATTAGCATGGAATCTTGAAGTTCCAAGAGAATATTGCTTCATTGCATAAAACCTAAACTATGATTTTTGAACACTTAAATCATCATCATCAAACTCTGGTAGCTAAAAAAAATCATAAAAATATAATTTCAATCCGTTCCCCATTGTTATCCTATAACCAACTGCGATCCCATTTTCTAGAAAATAGCCCCCTATAGAAAATTCTCTGATTACCAATTCCCCAAGGTAGATCGAATCGATTCCGACCGTACTTTTTCCGCATACTTCTTCCACCTGTCGCACACAACGTAGAAATACTGTAACAAAAGAAAGAAAGAGAAGGTAATGGGGCTCGTGGTAAGAACAAATGAGCATCACCTGCACCACAGTCAGTTGTCGACTACGGTACTGCCAATACGAATGGTACTTCGGGAGAAATTTGGCGCGGTTTTGAAATAACATAATATAATGAAGTTTGGATTTTTGTGGATCTGATAATATTTTTTTTTGGATTTTTAATTTTAATTATTGGACAAAATGTGCAGCAAAGAACAATTTAGTGATCTTATGGATAAAATACATTCGGTATGTCGATTTAAGTAGAATAATTTTTTATTGGTGTATAGGTATTTATATATTTTTTTGTATTTGTTGAAACATTCCTTAAACTTAAGCTGACTCAAATCACTTCAAGTTTTGTCAAAGTAATATTGATTTGGAAATATTGTCATGTTCATCTTCTAAAGTTATGTTCATCAGCTTCAAATTGCTCGTGGTATTGATTCTTCCTTTTCATTTATCTGTTGAGTGGATGGTCTTCCAGGAGTCTCTTGATATTGATGCGAAAACTTGAAATTCTCACCAACTTGCTTCAATTCCCTTAGATTTCTTCAACAATTCCTTATACTTATACATCATATTGCTACTCTTCCTGGATCCTGATTCTTGAAAACATGGAGTTCTCATTAAAATACATTTTTGTCTTTTTCATTCATGTAAGTTTTTGTATGGGAATCACTGGAACAGTTTCACATCTTACAAGACTAGTTTTAGTTTCAAAAAATCTTATAGCAAAAACTTATCATCCATTAACGCAGTACTTAAATCCTCATGAATAAATCAAACCTTATAATCCCTGGATAAGGCGCTTCTCATAGCCACATATACAGAAGAAGTCGTACAAGTTTTAAAATGAAATTAGCTTGTATAGCCGCACACATACACACATGCAAGGTTTAATGACATAAACTCATTTACCTGATTTGCTTGCAAGATTGATGAATCGTTCTTTTTTTTTTTTTTTTTGGCTCGGTTTACTTTCTTATGGCCGCTTGTTAATTATCTCTGTTTTATCGTAATCCGCTCCGAGATTGTTTATTAATTATGCATTAGATGGACCGAGACAAAAAATCGTTTACGAATTTAAGTAACCAGATATTAACTAACTGAAATGTCGTTAAAAATTAATTAACAATTTAACAATACAGATTAAAAATCAGTGGCTTTTATGCAATAATATTTGCTACAAAGTGACAGTAATATCTATTGGAATTTACCTACTTTCTTCTGTTATTAATTAAGAAAAATTTCATGTACAGGGTGCTTTTTTATATATTGACATCCCAACTACAGCCTTTACCTTTACAGGTAGATGAAAGGTGTTAATATAAATAATAAATCGAGGAACTCGGAGGAAATCTCAAGGCAAACATGGGCAATCTTAAATAAATCAGTCAATCTTTAGATCTAACGTAAACGCAGTTTTCAAAAATCTTTATAATTTGAGGTTATGTTATCAGAGGAACTCTATGATGTAAAAACTAGGGAAAATTAAGAAAAAATCCGATGAAATCCAAGGCAATCAGGGGAAATCAGGAGGGAATCAGAAAAAATCATGATGAAATCAAAGGAAATCTTAAAAAACCCAGGGGAACTTAAGAAAATTCTGGGAAATTTTGAGGAAATCAGTCAATCTCTAGATCTAAAGCATGTGCAGTTTTCAAAAATCTTTATAATATAAGGTTATGTTATCGGGAGAACTCTTGGGCAATCTGTACTGCGGTTTACCTCGCAAATCTTATGGTGTACAAATTAGGAGAAATCAAAAGAAAATCAGAAAAAATCATGAGTAAATCAAGGAACTCGAAGAAAATGTTAAGGAAATCATGGGAAATTTTAGAAAACCAGTCAATCTCTAAATCTAACGCATGCGCAGTTTTCGAAAATCTTTATAGCTTTATGCCAACCCAGCAGGAAACCGTAATATTACCGCCAGGATTCTGCGCAAAACCTAAAATTTATGCGTAGAAACCGAAATTCGTATACAGAGTGGTTTCAAAACCGTTCTGGGATGGTTTTTTGACGGGTTGGAACAAACCTTATTATAATTTGAGGTTGGGTTATCAGGGCAAATCTAACTAGTGAATCAGAAGAAATCAGTGAAAATCATCAGAAATCATCCATGTTTTCCCCCGAAACCGCAAACTGGTGTACAAAAACTGAACTGTGGTTTACCCCGTAAACGTGTAAGCAGGGCAAATCAAGAAGAGATCCGAGGAAATCTATATAAAGCAATCAGAGAAAATTATAAGAAGATCATAGGAAATCAAGGGACTCGAGGGATATCTCAGAGAAATCATGAAAAATCTTGAGTAAATCAGTCGATTTCTAGATATAACGCACGCGCAGTTTTCAAAAATAGGTATTTATAATTTGGAATTATGTTATCAGGCAATTTTACTGAGAATTAGAGAAAATCAGGGGATTCATGATTTCTCTGATTTCCTTATGAATTTTCCTTGATTGCCCTAGTTTTTCTTGGATTTCCTCTTGATTTTCCTTGATTTGTACACCATAGATTTCCCTTGCGGTTGACGTGGTGAACCGCAGTTCAGTTTTTCTACACCAGATTATGGTTTTAAGGGAAATTATGGATAAAAGAGGTATTTTTTTTGATCTGAACAAACTGAATTTATCATATAAGGTTTGTTTATGAGGCGTCAAAAAACCAATTAGGGCCAATAAAAACCTTGAAACACCGGATGAAAATTATTTGCAACAAACCTCAAGTGATTTCGATCATTTTGTTCATATCGAAAAAATACCTCTTTTATCCATAATTTCCCCTAAAACCATAATCTGGTGTAGAAAAACTGAACTACGGTTCACCACGTAAACCGCAAGGGAAATCTATGGTGTACAAATCAAGGAAAATCAAGAGGAAATCCGAGAAAAACTAGGGCAATCAAGGAAAATTCATAAGGAAATCAGAGAAATCATGAAGAAATTAGGAGAAACTTAAAGAACTAAGTGGACATCTTGAAGAATCCCAAGGAAATAAGTCAATCTCTAGATCTAACGTCTACGCAGTTATCAAAAATCTTTCCAATTTGAGGTTATTTTATCAGGGGAACTCTTGAACAATCTTACTGGTAATCAGGTGGAAATCATGGAAAATCATCGCAATCTGTCTTCAAATTTAGGCATAGAGTCTTAAAAAGTCTATAGTCTATTTCATTGTAGTCAATAGTTCGGAATCCAGGGCTAGGACCATGAAGTAATTATAAAACCATTATAAACCATAGAGATTACAATGACTTTATGGTTTTAAACCTTGATTTGAGCTATCAGCCGCAGTGAAATAGACTATAGCTGGTTCAGAATCTATAGAATATCAAAAATTATGAAATTTTTAAACTTCAAAAGTTGAATTTTGGCACTGCGAAAGTCAAAATGATCTTTTTCAAAGGAAATTGGTTGACAATTAGAAATAAATAAAAGTATTTGTCCATTCCAGGATCTTGCGTTGTCTTAATTGGGGAAATTTGAAGAAATTCTCAAGGAAATCATGGGAAATTTTAAAGAACCCAGTCAAACTTTAAATCTAACATATACGCAGTTTTCAAAAATCTTTATAATTTGAGGTTATGTTATCAGGAGAACTCTTGTATATACAAATTAGGGAAAATCAAGACGGAAGTCGAGGAAATCTATTAAGTAATAAGGAAAGATCATAACGAAATCATCCGGGTATTGAGGGAAATCTTAAACAATCCAGGGAAAATCCCAAAGAAATCATGAAAAATCTTAAGGAAATCATGAGAAATCTTAAAGAAACCAGTCAATCTCTAGATCTAACGCATGCACAGTTTTCAAAAGTCTTTATAATTTCAGGCTCAATTTTAAGGTATGTTATCAGGGGAACTCTTGGCACTTTTACTGGTAGTCAGAAGAAATCAGGGGAAATCCTGAGAAATCATCCATAATTTTCCATAAAACCGCAATCTGGTGTACAAAAACTGAACTGCGTAAACCCCGTAAACCGCAAGGGAAATGTATGGTGTAAGGGAAAATCAAGAGAAAATCCGAGGAAATAAAATGAAATATCGAGCATCCCATTTGAAAAAAGCTGGAAGCATGCAAAATTTCACATTTCTGACATTCAAAACTTGTTTCTAACCATGGTTTCTAAAAATTCAGCCAAAACTGTACAACTTTTGTATTTACACCTTTCTTCTACCTGTAAAGTTGAAGGCTAAAGGTAGAGTGTCAATATATAAAAAAAAACACCCTGAACAAATAAGTGGATTGTTGCGGAACTTATGGGTGGACCTCTGCGGGACGAGCGCAGCGAGTTCCGCAGCCATCTACTCACCAATATACTGTTGAACTGTTCAAATAAAACACTCACTTGAAACGTGTAGTTTTTTGAAAACTATACTGGTGTAAGTGGGATGTCAATATATAAAAAAACACCCTGTACAAATAAGTAGATTATTGCGGAACTTATGGGTAGACCTCTGCGGGACGAACGCAGCGAGTTCCGCAGCCATCTACTCACCAATATACTGTTGAACTGTTCAAATAAGATACTCACCTGAAACGTGTAATTTTTAAACTAATGAGAATTAAACAACATATTGATGAATAGATGTTCACTCATTTGTACTTGAATGACGTGTCACATTACATTACTAGTTTGGTAAAGTAACATTACTAATTCCTATTAAATGGCAAATTGACAAAACGTGAATAATCATAATCTTACAAATTTTGACTTTATATAATAAGTTATTGTTCAAGTACAAATAAGTGGATTATTGCGGAACTTATGGGTGGACCTCTGCGGGACGAGCGCAGCGAGTTCCGCAGCCATCTACTCACCAACATACTGTTTAACTATTCAAATAAGACACTCACTTGAAACGTGTAGTTTTTGAACTAATGAGAATAACTCATATTTGAATGAGTCAGGTTAGTATCGTAAAGAAACAACATATTGATGAATAGATGGCTGCGGAACTAGCTGCGCTCGTCCCGCTTAGGTCCACCCATAAGTTCTGCAACAATTCACTCATTTGTACTTGAATAACTTGTCACATTATGTCACTAGTTTGGTAAAATAACATTACTAATTCCTGTTGAAAGGCAAACTAACAAAAAGTGAATAATCATAATCTTACAAATTCTGACATTATATAATAAATTATTGTTCAAGTACAAATAAGTGGATTGTTGCGGAACTTATGGGTGGACCTCTGCGGGACGAGCGCAGCGAGTTCCGCAGCCATCTACTCACCAACATA